AACTCATATGTCACTGGTTCTTTTATGTTCTGTGTTTGTGCTAGAATAGCAGAATATCAGAAATTTAGTTAAATAACATTTCAGCAAAATGAAGTCAAGTCCTTCCCATCCTTTGTGGATCTCGCAGTCCTAATATAGGTTTGTCTACCCCTTGCTCTGGATGTCTGCAACAGCAACGTAAGCAAGTCCTCACTTGTGTGAGTCCACAGAGGCCATTCTTTGGATTCCAGAAGCTTGCAACCACTCAGGAAGGCAGGACATACTTGAAAACTTAGACCCAGCACCCGTAGAGATCAGTGTTTGTTCTTCTTCAAAAATCCCTCTAAGCTCCTAGCACAGTGTTTTCCACATTGCAGGGATCATAAAGTAATTGTCGACTAAAGGAGCAGACACATCATACAGTGAGGGCTTATAATTTTCAAATTAATCATCATAGGAGTTGCGGGGAGAGGGAAGGCTCCTGGGAGCCTAGGGTTGCAGAGAAAGTTCTATGAAGATGATACATCTCGAACTAGGTCTTGGAGGCTAATTGGCCTTTGTGTTTTTGCTTAGGAGTGGGGGGTGAGAGAACATTGCAGGGAGAGGCCATTCCACATGCAGAGTAGGAAGCCTGTCTGAGCCCCACATCTCTGTATGCTGGTCAGGAGTGGGGGAAAGACACACCAACCTCGACAGAGGGTTTGGGAATAGGGGATAGATCAGGATGGATTGTGTGGGGTAAATTGTCAGAGAATAGATTTTCAGGATGAGCACTTAGAATTTGCTCTAATATGCTATTACTATGATTGTATGCCTTTACTAGGGTTGTAAGCATATGGTTGGAAACAAGGAATGAAGGGAGAGTTTGTGGAAATCTAGTCTGGCAAGGCCCTGTTGGTCCCCCCTCCTTACCAGCTTGTCTGAGCTAGATGATGTTCCATGCTTAGCTTCAGGAATTATCTTCCTCTAGAAATCCTTTCTTCTAATCCTGCCCCTTGTGCCGACAGAGCCAGGTGGCTCCTGGCTGCTGGATGAAAAAAAAAAACAAAATGCATTTAAATGAAAAGTACTGGTCATGGCCTTCAAGGCTTCAAGCTAATCTCAGCATTTATTTATCCGTATCTTACATATCGTGATTGCCACTATTTATCTATATCTATCTGTGTGTCTATCTATCTTGTTAATAAATTTAAGGCTCTCATCCTTATCTCCTCAAGATTAACCCACCCATTTCTGCTAGCCAAATGAAGTCTCCTCCTCAACCTTGCTTTAAGATTCATTTCCACTAGGAAATCTTTTTGGCCTTGGACCAACCACATTAAATCTCTCTGAACTTCAGGAGCCTCTTCAGCAAAATGGCCTAAACATTCCTCACCTCTTGGAGTTGATGTGAGGACTGAAAGAGAAGCTGCCTAAAGCATGGTTACTTGTATAGAGCAGAAGGAGCCAGGTGGCCCCCTCTAGCTAGCACCTGCCGCTAGGAGACTGCAGGACCCTCTCACTGGGGCATGGCACTCTTCACAGCGGATGCATGCCTTGGGTGTGCCGGCTTCAGACCCTTAAATGAAATACAGGACTGAATATGGAACAGGAATGTACAGATGTAGAATATGAGAAGTGTAAGGAAAACACACAGTCGGAGATCAGAAATGGGAGGAACACACAGTCTCCTGGCAGGGAGCATGGGAAAAGTTTTCATTGAAAAGGTGACATTTGCTGAAAAGCAGAGATGATTATAAGAGTCCCTTAAAAGTAATGACTTGGTGGTCGGGGCCTGGTTCAGTGCCAGGAGCAGAGTGGGTGCTTAATAAATATTTGTCAGATGAATGGTATTACTTCTACAATACATTTATTACTTCCACTCAACTTCTGTGACTGATATAAAGGTAAAATTACTTAAATGAGAAACCTCTACTTTATCATCCGAGGAACAGAAATGAATTGTCAAGTGGTGTTGAAGATTAGCAGAGGCTATTGAGGGCAAGGGGTTAAATCACCTCTGTGAGCCTAAATCGCCAATGGTGTAACCGTGCCAAGGTGACATGCCATCTGGGTGTACAAGAGGTCATCTAGATGTTTTACCTGTAGAACCAGGTGGAACAGAGACAGAAAGTGCAGACCCAAGTGTGTATATGTCGGTCTGTCTGGTGCTGTTTGCTCAGTACCACTGGGAGAACATTGGGACATTTCGTTTATTACGGGAGATCATTTTTACCTCCAATAAATGTATTCATTATTTAAATTCTAGAAAATCCCCATATATCTGGAACCTTTTAAGGGAAAGAAAGCTCCATAAAGTGTAGATAAATGACACTATAAATGTTTTAATGTCTTTGTTTCTTCTTCCTCCACTCTGCCTGTTTATACCGTAATATTAATAAATGCAGCATTTTAATGAGCTTTGACGGAATCACCTTCAGAGACTTGGTGCAGTATGATCCTTGGAGACGCATAACTGAAGTTCCCGGGTTCTGGAAGAAAGTCTGTTCCTCATTAGCTGGGATAGCTAAGAGTGTGCTGGCTCAAGAGAGAGGGGGCCACAGCTCAAGCCCACCTGTGCGTGCACAGGACCGGCCGCGTCTCGGTCCTGCTGTGGAGTAACCCCAGGGCTTTCATTAAAAGTGTCAGATGGTTTCCCTGGAGTGAGTGCTGATGGCATGTCATGTTGGTGTCTCTGGAGGAGTAGCCCTGACACCTACTAACAGTCTGACAAATGGTTAAGTAGCTGTTTCAGCCGGGATTGAGTGAGCCAGCGTCCTCTACCTGAGCATGAGAAGAAGAGCATGTGTTCTCTTCACACTCCTGGTTGTTAAAGAGGCAAATCTGCTCTCCTCCGTCCGCAGCTCCTCCCCACCCAAAACCGAACCCCCTTGCTCTGCAAAACACGCTCCCAGAGTAAAACTTACTTGCTTTAAGTAAGCAAGACTTTTTTTTTTGTGAGATACAGATGGATGTTTTTTGGGTTGGTTTGATGGTGGCTGCCCAACATCTGAAACCCCTTGTACCTTTGTGGAGGTTCTCATTGCATGTTTTGGAGAAGAGGTCAGAGCCTCCTTGAGTACGTGGACAGAAGGTGAAAAGCTAGCACTTCTTTTCTGAGCACTGGCATTTAGGGCCTGGGTACTTGGCGAGACGGGAACGGTCAGATGCCTTTTTGGAGGCCTTCACATCTATTATCAAGTGCAGCAAAGAATCAGGAGTGGACAATTCATATTAGAGGCAGCCACATCCAGGGGCCTGTAACACGAGTACCCTGTGAGGCTAGTTTTCCTGGGAAGCAGAGGCCAGACTTTTCCTGGGGAGAGTGACTGAGGTTCTTGTACCTGAGTATTTCTAACCCTTCTTTGGTTTCTAATAATTTTCAAGCTTGATTTTCCAATCTTTGCAATGATTCTGAGAGCTCTCTGATACTATTTTAATAAATTCCTCCCCCGCTAAATTGAGACAGGGACCATTTCCATGTTTATAATTGACAACCCCAACTCATGCATTTATGTCCATGACTTGGTCTTTGTCTCCTGGCCGCTGAGATCATAGCATTGGCTTAAAAGCTTTGGCCAGGCATCTATGTGTCTAGAACACTAGTCAGTTGAACAGAATCTCCTGTTTAATACCCTTAATCATGCATCTATTCTTCCTCTTCTTCTTTTTTTTGAAATAGAATCTTCCTGCAGTCTCCTGCACATGTCGGTCTGTCTGTTGATATGCGGTACCTCGGAGCTCCTGGTTATTAAGTTAATTAGATGGAGGTTCAGTGGCCTGAATGATGGGCCAGTAGGTCAAAAAGCCCAAGTACTTTCGGCATTAGACGCTGGCCTGGGATTCTTCAGCCATTTGTTGGCGGAGCATCTGTCCTCATGGCCCCAATTAATTTAGTACGCACCGCTTTGTAAGGTGGTCCTGTGGTGCAGAGGCAGGCAATGTGTTCATGTTGTATGCATATTATAGAGCCATCCATTCTGTCCCTGACAGTTCCAATTCTAGATCCCACTGTCAAACCCAACAAAAGGGGAGAGCTTTTTTTTTTTTTTTTTTTTCGGTAACTTTCTGGGTCCAGCTTTGGATTTGGGACGGACTTTTTTTTTTTTTTCTTTTGGAGGATGTGTGAGGTGGGGTGGAAAAAGAAGAGGTGAGATGAGAGAAGTAAGGGTTAAGCTTCATTTTTTTTAAGATAAAAACGTTGAACTTGTTTTGTGGAATTCTACTTTTGCATTTTTTTTTAAAGATTTATTTATTTATTTTTGAGAGAGCGAGAATGAGAGAGAGAGAGAGAGAGTGTACATGAGTGGGGGAGGGTCAGAGGGAGAAGCAGACTCCCCGCCGAGCAGGGAGCCCGATGCGGGACTCAATCCCGGGACTCCGGGATCATGACCTGAGCCGAAGGCAGTCGCTTAACCAACTGAGCCACCCAGGCGCCCTACTTTTGCATGTTTATAAGCAGCAAAAATGTAGCATCTGTATTCTCATAATGTACTGAATATGTAAGATCCTACGTGTTTGTGGCCACTCCCTGCAGAGTGGTTTTAACTCCTAAGCAGCCGTGTTCATAGTTTTCCTCCCTTCTCTCATGACCCCGAGGAAGCCTCTAGGTTAACATAGACTTCCAGCAATAGCTGAGTAATTACCTATATTGACTCAAGGAGAACTTAGGCAGGAAACAGAGGGGAGCTCCTGTATTAAAACAAAACACAAAACTGGACTCCCTCACATGTGAGACTGATAACAGCTTCTATGTAACCTGTGTGGTCACTGGCTGTCAAGGCTGCATCTGGGTTGTGTATCTGTCCCTATCCATGAAGTATGCTACAGTTCCAGAACTTACAGGTTCTCTCTGTTTCCTGAATTCCCACACAAGCCTTGTTAGAAGGAGAAGCTCACATTTGCTTTTTCAGCAAGCACAGTTTTATTGGTATAAGCGTGCATGGCTTTTATTCATTTGGCCTCTGTTACTTTTGAGATTCATCTGTCTCTGACCAGGAAGATTCCTTTGCCTTGACCAATGTCCTGTGTTCTCTTTCCAGGAAAGAGTGATCCTTTTTGCTTGTTGGAGTTAGGCAATGACCGACTTCAGACACACACCATTTACAAAAACCTCAACCCCGAGTGGAACAAAGTTTTTACATTGTAAGTGCTTTAGCCTCCAGATTATCAAGGAGGGGTTTTAACTTAGAGATCAATTATCCTTGATATGTTTGGGGCAGGCTGGGGCTCTTGAGTGGAACTTTCTGTCCATTTTTATGTGCAAAGAATGAATTTTATTGTTTTTTTCCTTCTGAAAACCTTTTATGCTTTCATTTTATAGAGTATAGTGTTAATAATAGAAGAGGCCATTTGGAACTGCAAGGGAGTGATATAGGAGGCATTTGTAAAGTAGATCTTTCAGTAACTCAATTAATCTGTGAGTAGATGGAAGCTTTCATATATCCAGACTAATTGATTCCTGAGTTAAAGAAAATTACAAATGTAGACCTGCCTTAAATTCAAGTTTATATGTTACAAATTATTGTAATGCCTAAGGGCTTGTTTTATGCCAGAGGCTTTTGGAAAATACAGATTATCTGTGATTCCTCAAGGAGTCCCAAAGTCTCTTTGTATTTCAGCTTGTCTGAATGACCTGCTCCACAGAGATGCCCTGTCCACTCTTTCAAACTCAGGCATTTAGGAGGCTGGATATATTTCCTAGTGTGCTTTAGATTCTGAGGTACCTGGCCGTCAAAGGGAGGCACCTGTTGATTTGGGTCAAATGGTGGTTCACTTCCCCCACAACACTGACGAAATGCTGTGTTTGTAACTGAAAGAATACGTTTGAATGGAGTTGGTGATTCCCAGGTAGAAAGTTCCCAAGGATCAAAACTGAATTAGTAATAAAAAAACTCCCAACAAACAGAAGTCCAATACCATGTGGTTTCACTACCAAACACTTAAAGAAGAGTTAATACATACTCTTCTCAAACTTTTCCAAAAAATAGAAGAGGAAGGAAAACTCCCAAATTCATTCTATGAGGCCAGCATTACCCTGAGACCAAAACCAAATCCCCACAAAGAGAACTGTAAGCCAGGACCTCTGGTGAACATAGATGCAGAAATCCTCAACAACATATTAGCGAATGAAACCCAACAATACATTAAAAAAATCATGCACCACAGTCAAGTGGGGTGTTTATTCCCAAGATGCAAGGATGTTCAATATTTGCAAGTCAATCAGTGTGATACATCACATCAATAAGAGGATAAAACCCATATGATCATTTCAATAGATGCAGAAAAAATATTTGACAAAATACAGCATCCATTCATAGGGGAACATACTTCAACATAATTAAGGCCTTATATGAAAAACTCACAGCTAGCATCATACTCAGTGGGAAAAAATGAGAGCTTTTCCCCTCAAGGACAGGAACAAGACAAAGATGTCCACTTTCACAACTTTTATTCAACATAGTACTGCAAGTCCTAGCCACAGCAATCAGACAAGAAAAAAAAATAAAAGACATCCAAATTAGTAAGGAAGAAGTAAAGCTTTCACTATTTGCAGATGACATAATACAGAAAACCCTAAAGACTCCACCAAAAAGGTAATAGAACTGATAAATGAATTCATTAAGGTTTTGGGATACAAAATCATTATACAGAAATCTGTTGCATTCCTATACACTAATAAGCAACAGAAAGAAAAAATAATAAATCTCATTTATAATTATACCAAGATAATAAAATACTTAGGAACAAACTTAACCAAAGAGGTGAAAGACCTATACTCTGAAAACTAAAATACTGATGAAAGAAAGTTCCCAGGATCTATGAGAAGTGTATTAACTTGCCTAAGCAGATTTGCAAATTGCCATATGAAAAAGTTTCTTGTTTGCTCAACACATTGCTGATGACCATGGCTCCATTTTTCATTATAGGTAATGTCTGGTTTCTGGTCAACATAAATGTTTCTAAATATGCATGGGAGTTTTAGTATTTTGTGTTTCAACAATAGGAAGCTTTCTGTGGATCTCAGCAAATAGTGATTTTGATCACCTTTTTTTTTTCAAAGGGAATTCTTCATTAATTTATTTTTTTCTTTGTTAATTTAATGTAAAGAAAATCTGATTGCCTATTTGAAATCGCTGTCCTTTTACCCTCCTCATTCTGTCTCTTTTTCTTTATCCTCCTGTTTCTTTAATAGTCCTACCCTTGAGTGCATGTATACATGGAAAATGTCATAGTAAAAAAGTTGACTTTTTTTTTCATATGGATGTCTGACTCTTCTATGATGGAAGGTTTGGGAATACAGTTCAGTTTGATTTAATTTTTGGAATTTAATTAAATGGTAGTTTTATACTCTAAGGACATAGAGGCTTAATTAGTGAAACTGTGTTTTCAGATCTTCATGGAACAGACTCCACTTGTGTGTTTTTGTATATAATACATGGTACATTTCTTGTTTCAGTCCTATTAAAGATATCCATGATGTTTTGGAAGTGACAGTGTTTGATGAAGATGGAGATAAACCTCCTGATTTTCTTGGAAAAGTTGCCATTCCCTTGCTGTCCGTAAGTTACTGTAGTTAATACCCAGTTCATAAGTAATTTTACAGTTGACAAGTTTCTATGGTCTAGAGTTGTTCTGTCTTTGTCAATCTGGGGAAAAGATCCGCCCAGCTATAGCAGGAAATAACTCTTTTATTCCTTATCCTTTTCCAGTATTTTCAGTAGTTTCAGATATAAAGTAACAACTATTTAGTTGAATATTGGTTTGACCAACGAAGACATTTTGACTAGTCTTTCAATTCATTCTCAATCTTTCCATCTTAAGACGGGAATTTCTGTTTGGTTTCAAGGAATACAGATCTATGACTGAATTTCCATTTGTTAATGAAAAACATACATGTGTTTCTTTATTACCTCCTTACTACCCACTTCTTTAAAGATTAATTGCTGGTAACTGCAAAGTTGTTCCTAGCTCTACTGAAGACTGTTTTCTCAAAAGTTCTATTTGTCTTTATAGTAATAGAGTTTGCTTTCAGTCTCAAAAAATGCTTTGTGGAACAGAGCAGAGAGCTTCTCTTGGAAAAAGAGTGCTATTTCAGTAGTCTAGTTAAAAGATAACATACCAGAGTAAGCTAAGAGCTGAATGAAAAAATACCCTATGAAGTCAGAGGAGAAAGCACCACATAATGCCTTTACATGGGCAAAGGAGGGAAGCTGGGATCTGAATTCACCTATTAATTGAATGTGTGTACCAAATGTACTCTTCCAGAAGAGAGAATTTCAGTTTTTCATTCAATAGTTAATGTTCCGTTGTAGAGATGTCACGGTCTTATCAGTCAATAATGCTTTATTTACTTCTTCCCAAAGACTTATTTCTCCAAAGTTATTAGTGCATTTTTGTAGCAGGAGAGGTCTGTGCTGTAACCATGAGATTAGACTAGCTCACATGATGCTTACAGTGGGAGAAACACTGCATCTCTCCGTATCTGTATGGGTTTTGATCGCCTGGTTAATTTCTCCCCAAGTTCTCTTATCCCCACTGTTCCTCTAAGAGAAGGGGTGGAGCAGCTGTTCCCTTGTTGATTTGGCTCCTGCCAAATACTCAGAGCTGTCAACAGCAGACCACACTGACTGTCAGGGAGGAGACGGCAATTTGGGATTTTTCTCCTTTTTTTTTGGTTACAACATTGTCAGTTACTCCTGAATTAATACATGTAACAAGAGCATGGAATACAATTTTAGAGAGGTCTAAAGGGACAAGAAGCAAAGACCCTCCTTTACAATTCAGTTTCCTTTTTTTCTCAAATTTTTTGGGCAGGACAGAGATATTTCTCCTTTTGATTGTTTTTAAGATTTATTTATTTATTTTTGAGAGAAAGAGAGAGTGTGTCTGAGTTGGGGGGGGGCAGAGGAAGGGGAGGGAGGGAGGGAGGGGAGGGAGAGGAGAATCTCAAGCAGACTCCTCACTGGGTGCAGAGCCCGTTGTGGTGATCGATCTGATGACCCTGAGATTATGACCTGAGCCAAAATCAGGAGTCTGATGCTTAACCAACTGAGCCACCCAGGTGCCCTGTCCTCTTGTTTTTATAGATAAATCTGTAGTAACATATTTTATTCCTTGCTGAGTGAACACTCCTTGGAGTCATTTTTAACCTCCCTCTGTTTTACGTATAAAAGTTTTGTGTTACTGGTTTTCTATAATACCAACAAATTGACCCACTTACTTCCCTCCCTTCTTCCTTTATTATGTACAGTGTCTTCATGCTGTTGAGTTAGATATAAGAAATTACCTCTGGCTAGGGGTGCCTGGGTGGCTCAGTCATTAAGTGTCTGCCTTCGGCTCAGGTCATGATCCCCGGGTCCTGGGATTGAGCCCCGCATCGGGCTCCCTGCTTGGCGGGAAGCCTGCTTCTCCCTTTCCCACTCCCCCTGCCTGTGTTCCCTCTCTCGCTGTGTCTCTCTCTGTCAAATAAATAAATAAAATCTTAAAAAAAAAAAAGTAATTACCTCTGGCTAAATCAGGTGTGGGGTTTCTCAACCTTACCATGATTGACATTCTTGAATATCTCATGCTTTGTTGTGGGGGGCTGTCCCGTGCACTGTAGGATGTTTAGCAGATCTCTGACTTCTACCCACTAGATGTCAGGAGGACCCATCCACTCATCACTGTTGTGACAGTCAAAGATGTCTGCAGACCTTGCCAAGTGTTCTGAGGAGGGACAGAATCACTCTCAGTGGAGAACCACTGACCTAAGTTAATGAAGTCTTCAAACCATATCTTTCAAGATGCAAGGTAGAATGATTCTATGAAAGACTTCGTTTAAATGCAAGGAGCCCCCTGACCCCCTTAACTTTATTCTAGTTGCTGATAAGCCACCCATGATCTATACATTCATTTGTTTGAAGAATATTTATCGAGTATCCAGTTTATGCCAGACATTGTTCGTCGTTTTAGGTGGTAATGCTCTAACAATGACTGCAGTGAAGGTATCTTCTCTTTTGGAACTTACATTTTGTTGTAGGAGTCAGTATACAGAACAGACAAACCCACAAAAAGCAAGGCAGCATGTTAGATGGTGAAAGGTGCCCTGTAGAAAGCAAAGCTCCAAGATTATGTCTGGGGAAGGGGTACAGTTCTCCATGGGCTGGCCAGGTAGGACCTCACTTCAGGGAGCATTTGAATGAGAACTTGAGGAGGTGAGAAAGAAAACCCTGTGGATATCTGGAGAAACTCTTCCAGGCAGGTAAACTTCCAAGTTCCAAGGCTCTAAGGCAGTGCCCTGACTGTCCCAGAAATATTGGGGTGGACAGTGTGGATGGAGTGGAGTCGCCTGGGGGAGAATCACAAATGCGGAAGGAGAAAGGACACAGGGACAGAGTGCCATGGGAGAGGGGTAAGACTCTGATGGTCTGAAAGTTTGAAGGACTTTGGCTCACTCTTAGCATTGATGGGAAGCCACAGGGAAGTTTCGAGGCAGGGAGTTCTTGATTTCTTTTACATTCTCTGTTTCTAACATTAAAGGGCTGTGGCACACAGAAAAATAAACCCAGATCTGACAGTTCTCTACCACATAAAGTGTGAAGGCAGCGTGGCCTGAGCCACATTCTCATGAAGGGGTTAGGGGGCCCGGAATGTTGAGCTGAAGCTGTTACAGCAGCTGTTCTTCAGTGTGGCTGTTTCAATTCAGACTCACTTCCGATTGTTTGACCGACACATTGGGCAAGTGATCAGATCTTGCAGAGGATCTATTTTGGACCTTCCTGATGTTCAGTGGTCCACCTGCTACATGCACTCTCCAAAGAATTTCATTCTCTACCTCAAGTACAGATATAAATATGATAGAAAAAAATGCCATAACCCTCAGTATCCATAACAGGCAGATTTTCAGTTGTTCATTAATTCACTGATCATTCCATTTTTGAGTAATTCTAACTTGTGATTTAGAGAGTATGTTTTCACATTTATTTAGATCTATTTTTTTCTTTATTTAATATCTATTGCATCATGCTTAACTAACCAGTCCTGTGCGGTGCATGTATCATGTGTGAAATCATTCATTCTCTAAAAACCTAATTCGGGCTGCTTTATTATCATGGCTGTTTACAAAAGAGGAAACTGAAGTACACAAGGATCCTGCTGCTGGGACGTAGTAGAGGCTGGATTTGAAATAGGCAGTCTCATGCCCAAGCCTGGGCTCCTAAGAGGATGCTATCCCTGCCGTGGTGAGCCCCTGTTCACTAGATATGAGGCTGAAAGCAAGAACCAAGATGTGCTTCATGCTACCCCTGGTCTCAGTGCAATAGAGTGTGGACAGGTAGGGCAAAGAGTTGAAGACTTGAATCTCTTGGGTGATGCCTGTGGAATGAACACAGAAGACCTGAAATGTTTTTTTTCTCTATTGCAATATAGTTGACATTGAATGTCACATGAGTGTACAGTACGGTGACACAACAAGTCTACCACCCATCACCAGACAACACTGTTACAAGACCATTCATTGACTATAATCCTTATGCTGTGCCTTTCATCCCCATGATTTACTCCTTCTATAATCGGAAGCAGTGACCTCCCACTCCGTTCATCCATTTTGCCCATCCCCATTCCCCTCCCCTCTGCAGATCACCAGTTTGTTCTCTGTGCTTATGCAAGATCTAAAATATTAGGTGCTAAATAAAAGGAACAAGAAAACATAGAGCAGGAGGAATGGATTTAATTTTAGGAAGACTTTATGAAGTGGGGAGTTTGAGCTGGCCCAGAAGGAACCTGGTGTTGATCATGACTGGTGGGTGAGGTAAAGAAAGAAGGCCATTCCAAGCAGAGGGTAGAGCAGGAGTGGAGAAGCCGGGGGTAAGAGAAAGGCCACCTCCTGGAAACAAAGGGGCCTAAGGGGCCTGGTGCTCAGGGCAAGCGGGGAGGCTGGAGAGGGAGGACTGAGGGCCGCTCAAGAAGGGTTGAGGGAGGTTGGGGCTTATTCTGTTAGCAGGGAGAACCTGAAGGCTTTCAGACTGGAGATGGAGATATCAGAGCAGTTGATAAGGAAGAAAGTTTTGGCTTCAGTATGAAGCAAGTTAGAGAGGAAGGGAGATTTTTCTGGAGGGATTGGTTGAAACTCCAGAAATAAGCGTCAAAGAGAGAACCCTTATATTTTATATTTTGTGCCTCTTAGGAGAAGGTCTTTATTTCTCTGCTTTTTTAATATGAGAGAGAATTATAAAAATGAAATAGTCAGTGCTCCACTGTTGCCTTTATAGTATATGAAATAGTATTCAGTAATGCCTTCTTTTCTATTTAAAAACAAAAATTGTATTTCTTGGAGAAGAGTATGAATATTTTTTTTTGTGAGAATACATTTTCTTTAATCAAGTCATAAACTAAAACTTGATTTACACGTTCAGAGAAAATGCAAACTACATTTCAAAATGTCTAAGTATAAAGTATTGAATGTACTTCAACTTTTAATCTCTCTCAAAATGATAATGTGCTAAGTGCATTTCAGCCTGTTAAATAAAAAGCCTGTTCTGAATTTACTGTATCTTTTAATCAGGGTGAATGTGCTGGCTGA